GCCGGTAGTTGACTTTTCCCCCAATAATATGAGTAGAACTGACGCTTCCAATGAATTTCACATAGCCTTGCTTTCCCAAAAGGTGTTCTCACCAAAGTTGGACTGCACTTTCGAACTCACATAGGTCTTATCAACACCTCAAACGGGAGTCGAACCATGACAGTGCAGCGTATAAGCTCGACACGTCAACCACTACGCCACATTTCCAGGAGTGCCCTTGGATCGCATGACAGATGTGAATTGCAAGGAATGTCATGCATCTTCCACATCACACTCTGTGTTCGAATTGTGGATGAAGTATACTTATATTTGTTATATTAATCGATGACATTACTTTTTTCGTAAGGGAGTAGGTTTGCGAAAACCTACCCAAATAATGAATCCTGTCGAGAGGCAAGACTAATGGAAATTTAATAGAATTATTTGACTTTCTACTAATAGCGTTGTAAGAAACTCATCTATCAAGCCTTCAGGCGCCTCAAGCAGCCTAGGATGCCTTGAGTTCTTGTAATTAGACATAGAGCTAGTTTCAAAACCTCGGTGTATAGTAACGTCTTCGGTCTTAATTACATTTATATTTTTAGCTTATTGACAATAGTTCCAGTTTGCATGAAAGGGTAAAGAATAAGAGCCGTATTTAGCCTAGATGATGACGAAGGACTAATAGTTGAATTATTCCACTATTCTATGAGTAGGTATCACGCTTTTGGAAAAATTAAAGTGTAAATATCGGCTCGTACTTTCCAATCCCACTCATTTCGACTATGAATTTGAAGACTCCTAAAGTTCTTCGAAAACCGTAGCTGCCCTCTGGCCTAAAAGGGCCTGTGGTCGCCATATGGTGCGCGCAATCCAGTTTTGCATCCCGATGAGAATAGTGATATGACTCATTTTTGTTCCTACAACCCTACTAACGGTAGATAATTTAACTATAAGAGCCGTATTCACCCAATTTCGTTTTAGGGCAGTGAACTGGTAGTTGAATTTTCCCACGAAGATATGTATAGGCCTCACGTTTACATGAAATGTTGCATAGCCTTTCTTCCCGAATGGTATTCTCATCCATGCTTGATTACAGTTTCCATTCTGCCTAGGTCTCACCAGCACCCCTAACGGGATTCGAACCCAGGTAGTGCAGTGTATAGTCTTGAAACCTTGACCACCATGCCAAGGTACCATTGGATAAGAGGTTAGATGTGAATTTCATGGAGTACCAGGCCTTTCCAATTTCCCATTTCTGCAGTGAGAGTGTCGATGAAACAAAGTTGTATTTGCCACATTACTTATTCTTAATTAATAACTAGGCATTCGAGACTGCCATTTTAACTTGAATAAGCTGCACTACACAAGTTTGAGTCCCGCTAAAGATGCAATGTTTAAACCGCTGTCCAACCCAGCCTGGATTAGAATAGCTTTTATGAAGTTAAGTTACGTGAAGTTTAATGAAAACATAGCCTTTGAAAATTTTAACCACAAGTCCTTCGTCACCTTAAACTAAATAGCGTAAATACAGTTCTAATATTAAGTGGACGGGTAGTCTTGAAAAGCTTATTATTAACGTAGACATGTGCTTTTAATTGCAATCACTGATGTTAATTATTTTCAATATGTGTAGTTTATATTACTATCAGTAATGCTTATTAAACTATGGGCTTATTCAAAAATGCTAATAGATTCAAAAACTAATTTTTTTCGAAAATTGGCTTAACTTGGCACTAGTCCGGTGATCCGATTCTTAATGGCCCTAGAAGCTAATTCCATTTTTTCACTTAACACTCGATTAAAGTGTATTTCAATTTGCGGGCAGACCTTGTAACACTGAGATGGACACACCCTTCAATCAAAATATTGGGCACCAGAAGTCGAAGAAGTTCCAGCCTATGCCGGAATACTACTATCTATTTTCCAGCATGTTTTACAATCTGCTTCTACCATCACCTGCAAATCACCCACTGTCGGCCCTACAGTACCATCGATAACACACAGCTTCGAGGGCCCGTTGATGCAATGTACCAGAAAACAAAAGGGGAAGAACCGGCTTTCAGGAATTCTTCAGGAGCATCTTAAAAGGATAAACTAGACTTGTACTGTTTAATTGTTGGTAATTGTCTATAAAAGCGCTAGATTGTTCCCAACTCTTGTGTTTCTTCTTCTTCTTTGGTATCATTTTGACATCGACAAGGCAACTCCAGCCTAATTACCTTGACGAAGCGATAAAACTTGCAAATGATTTCTCTTATTCCATATAATATGTTGGGCTAAACTCTGTATCGCAGAATGTTCAGCTGTTGTGTACCGGGTTTCGAATAACTCCGCTTCTCTGGCTCCCTAACAGGTCGTTACAAGGCCACGGCCGAGAATGTTCATGGACGGGCCACGTGTTCTGCTTACATCGGCCTTGAAGGTCTCAGTCCGATGTTGTCGCCGGCAGCCTCATCTACGACCAGCTTGCATCGGCTGGTCACTGCTTCGGGCGCCGCTGGTCAGCCCGCACGATGGTCCCGTCCGTCGGGACGGCCGCCATCGTCACCCAGTCCTTCTGTCGTTTCGTCGGCAACTCCACAGCGATTCGGCAGCTCAGCTGCGCCCGGACTGATGATGACCACAAGTAGCATCTACCCTCTGCGCACCGGCGTGTCGCCGACACCACCACGAACGCTCGTTTCCAAGCCGACCTCGGCGGTACCTACAGAAGGCGATTTTGCATCTCGGTTTCCCGCTGACAGTGGTGGCCTTTTGACCCCCACAAGCTTGTCTCCCTTTCATAAACGTGGATGGCGAGAGACTTCAGCGCCGCCTCCGAGTTTTCATGTTCGGTCCATGGCTTCGTCTACTCGAATTCTGAAAATCGCATCAAGACGCAGAACACCGCCTGTGGAGTTAACATTCAGACTGCCAAAATCTAGGGAACAAACACCAATTAGGAAATCAGAGGTGAGCTATGCCTCCCAATATTGTCATCGGGTAGGCTTATTACGTTGTCACTAGTGATTTTGTTCTCATGTCGTGCAACAAAATTAGTGAAAGTCGTTATCCTGTCCTTCTCCTGGTCCCCAAGGGCTTCTCAAACTAGAGTTTATAAAAATTAAAAGACGTATCCTTTGCAGGAGTGCTTCCCTATACAGCTTTAACGTACCACTTTGCATGTGATTGCTTCAACCTGGAAGAGGGAGCGGAAATATTTAATCTAAACTCCAATGTCCTCAGTTGACCTCCACAAGTACGTGAAGAAATGCTGGCTTTAAGAACAGCATTTATTAATTTAATGTGATTCGGATTTTAACTTTAAAGCGCCACATTTGTCTCCATGAGATCCTGAATAAGCCTCACTAAATAAATCCCGGCTCATCCTCCTGCGACCCCGAGGAAACTGTGCTTACCTTACGTATGTCATATGACAGGTATCATAATTTACCATAATTTACAAACAATCCACCAAATTCCCTAAGCTAAAGATAGATTGAACTTAATGAGACTTCTCATAATTTAGCTGGCTGTTTTGTGCTTACCTCACATGCTTACAGATGGGAGAAGTTGATGCATGTTAATGAAGTAAGTGTTCCCTTGCCTAATCCTGAAAATGTGACTCATGTTCGGGTATGTGGTATTGTGAAGTGTGTGCGTGCAGTGTTTGAGTAGTGTGATGTCCGAGAGCTCTAGCTCGGATGCTCGCTCTCCTTCATCCTTTCTAACAGACAGATAATTCCCACTAAATTTCCTTTAAGCATTCTTTCTTGTTGTAATGTTTTCTATTTCCATTTATTCATCTAGGCGCCCCAATTTAACCATTTGCACTGATAAAACTTTGTATTATATACCCAGTGTGTGTACAGTCATAAGAAAGATGGGAACTGACAAAGTAATGAGATGTCATCTAGCCTGAAATCACATAGACCCAAACACCGTGCTCTACATCTTCATCTCCAAGCTGATCAAAGCATCCATCATGTGGCTCCATTATTTAGTTGCCCATAAATTAACTGCAACTAACAGTCAATTTGTAAAAAGAGACGATGAAGCCCTTCGAGTTTACTCAATATCAACATCTTGAGATCATAGCAGGTAAAAAAGTTAGGAAACGATTAAATCATTAGACTATTCATTTTGATCGCGAATAGTACATATGTTACAAGCAATGATAAGTTGTATGGGCAAACGCAGGACTTGACTATAGGATCTTGTTTAGCCACTATTTTAGTTAATTACTACAAGGCACAATTAGGAGTTAATATCGTTCAAGGTGCACTCCTAGCTCCAAAGTTGTTAGTTCGGTATCTGGACGATTGCTTTGCTGTCTAGCAACAAGGCACAGATAGTTTTAATAAGTTTCTTGGTCTAATAACTAAAGTAGAATGCAAAACTGAGTTTACTTTTGAATTAGGAAGGCAAAATGGCCTATTTATATATAATAATGAGCAAAGAATATAATAAGTTTTGACCCACACATAAGGGTGTCCTTGTTAATTTCCTTTCCAATCATACATTTAGTCAAAATAGAAATAATGAATTTAATGATTCTTAAGAGTCTAGGTTCGGCAGACGTAAACCACAGGGACCACAATATCTGTAGATTAAGGCACATATTTTTTCAAAACAATTATTTATTAGGATTAGTCTATAATTACATTTAAATTGTCAGCAACAAGAGGAATGGAGATTATTATTCGGGGCGGGATAGGCAGATATAACATTCTATTCGATTCCTGATTTGCCTTCCTATTAACTTGTGATTAGTTTGGTGACCCACTAATGATGTGGAGCAGCGGAACAATGTATAAAAGAAAATTAGCCCTTTCTTCAGTCATTATCTATTTTAAAGAATTTTTGGACCCGCTCTCTAGCTCAGGCTGCTACAAGGCTTTATGCTCATGTGGTAAAAGATCAGTATGTCTATGAAACTCAACAAAACAGCCAACATCCCGAATAGAAGGAAAGAGTGTGGTAAACGAATTAGGAAATATTTGTGGCAGTTGGATAGACTTAAGAAAAGGGCGAAAGAAGGGTTGCAGGGAGAGCTACTGAGCAAGAGAGAGAGGCTGGATTAGCCTCGAGTCTAACTAGGACCATCACACTTTTTATGACTTTGACATTACATGCACACAATAGACAGTAGCACAAACCAAACATGATTCACCATTTGACGATCATATGTTAGTTTATTTTTTGTATAGTGAAGCAGCTGCCACCATCGGTTCGTGATTTAATTTCATTCATCTGCAAGCATGTAGGGGTTTCAGCCGGCCGTCTTCACCCTTATTTTAGTATACTTTTGCTCTATTTCGTAAAGTAAGGATTCTCGCTTTGATGATGTCTGTCACAGTCAGACGAAAGCCTAGCACAGTTTCATCAGGGTCGCAGGACGGTGAGCCGAGGACTTCTTCGCACAATGCAACACTTCCATAGGTGGCAATCCTCCTTCTGTTTCGGATGAATTAATTTTACGAATTTCTTCCAATCAACTTTTTCTTCGAAATGGAAGGTTATGCTAAAATATATCACTACGAAATCCTTAAAACAATCAGTTTTACTTCATATCTTCGAGGTTTGTTTTTTCAATTTTATTGCCCTATTACAGCCGGAAATGGCAGACCACTGGGTCGAATTGGTCGGCTACACAAGCCGACATGAAATTCTACAGGTCATTTTGCACAAATAATTTAATACACTTTTTATGGATCTCTTGAAAAAATCTTCTTTGAGAGAAAAGCGACATCTTGTTAATTGACCCTAAACATTCTCTCTTTATTTCGATCAGAAGTATGGTTTCGACGCAATCACATTCCCATATTCTCTCTTATATTCTCGCCATCCAAGGTGTCTACATTGGTTGACTCACACATTCCTCCACGTGGTATGGTAAAGCACAGCTCAAGCGTGCAGCACATTCATCAGATCCACGTAACTCCAATGAGGCCTCAATACGAAGCTCGGCTCGATCGTCGCGTCTCCAGTCACCCTCGACTGTCGCCCGGCTACGCCTCCGACGAAGAGACTCATGAGCATCCGATACAGGTGGTACCGATGGTGCGTCGCTATCACTCCAGACTGGACATCTCCATGGCGGCCAGGCCCACTCTGGAGCCGGCATTCGCGACAGAAGCCGACATCGAACAGCCCCTGCATGTCGTCCCTATGAGGAAAGAGTACCGCACTGAGATTGCCCAACGACTCGCCGGCCGGCCATATCTGGAGCCGGGCTACTCCTCCTCCGAGGAGTACGAGAACCCGATGGAAGTGGTGCCAATGGTCGAGAAGACGGACTTCCGGACCCAAATTAAGAAACGGGTACCCTCCAGACCGCTACTTCGCGAGGCCTATGAGAGCACATATGAGTTCATGCGATCAATAGAACTAAGACGGGTAAATCATCTGAAATATTTTCAGCCAAAATAATCCCCTTTTTCGTAACATTATAGTCAACATTATCAGAAGAATAGGTAGCTTTACTTTTCAGTTTACTTGATATATCCTTCTCTAGAATTGGTCTAATGCAGTTAGGGAGGACTAACAATTACTGTATGAGCCATTAGAAACGATATTTTGTTTAAATCTACCAGTATCTACAATCTATCACTTTTCCTCTGATTAATCTTTGGTAAAATACTTATCAATCAGAAGAAGGAATAATTAAATCTTTAGGAAGTTATCTAGTAATATGTGCTCCATAGGCGTTAGATGTATCTTTAACATCTACTCAGAACTAGACAATGCGAATAAAGCTACGTTTAATTACTTTGATCTTTCCAAATGCAGCAGAGCTTTGAGACCACCTTGAAGGCGAGTGTACCCTCGAGGCCAGAAGTACTTTTCGGGTTTGAATCTCGGATGGATCGAGAACTTTCCATGGATATCTGCCCCGTTGTACCTGAGGAACGCCGTTTCACCAGCGAACTTAAACAGGAATTTAAATTGCAAGTAAGTAGTAGCCGTAGTAGTAGACACAGAGTTCTTCTTTGTGTTTGTTGGCAATGATGTTTAAATCTAGCAAAATGATATATAGTATTTTTTATAAATCTGTGCTAGGTTAATTGAGTGGTACCGCACAAGTATGAGTTTACAATTTATTTTTTTCATTTGTGCTTGCGAGAACCGAAAATTTCGTCAAGATTAGGAATACAAGAGATTTCTTAGGATACAGATTCCTATTCAGAAATCTTTTTACTCTACAGTATTATTTGCAACCTTAATATCAATTTATCATACAGGGATGAATAGGTTAATTCAAGGCTCACATTATATTACAGTCGATATAACCCTCTATCGGGTGAATTGCTTATTCAAGTGCCGAGGTCTAAGATAAACTCTATAATAGATGCAGGATTCGAAGAGTATTAAGAATCGGAAATTAGACCTTCTGGACATCAATTCACCTTGAAGCTAGTCAAAATGTGAATGACTAGCGCCAGTTCATACAATGCCCCAATTAAGGGTTTTCTAAATTGTATGTAAATCTCAAATAGGAATTTCATTCACCCTAATTGATGAAGGGGATAAAGGAATTATGCCTGAATTTCCCTACAATGACATGAGTAAGCCCCATGTTTCCCTTGCTCCCCTGGATGGTATTATCTTACATGAAGCAAGGCTAAAGCAAATGCCATCGAAACATGAGGCACACTCCAATTATTATGAGAAAATTTAAATACCCGCCATTCATAAACTTCCTCTCCCAGGGTCACGTGAACTCTTAATTCATGAAATAGCCAATAAAAACCAGGTGCCAAAGCTGAAAATAATTAGACGAATAAATCACTTGAAGTTTATCATGACTTTAATTTTGCTTCATATCCTTTCATCATTACTTCGTAATTAGCCCAATTTAACACTTGCCTTTTTGTATTTTCCATTAATCCTTCGTGCATCTTTCAGTATCGGCCAGTTGAGGTGGTTCTTGAGATGCCTACGCCGCCACAATTCATAGAACAGCTGCGCAGCATCACTGCCGAGGAGGGCGCTCGAGTCGTACTTGACGGAGTGGTACAAGGACGGCCAGAGCCTCGCATCTCTTGGTACCGCGCCGGGCGTGAGATAAAGGACGCTCCAGATTTCCGGCTGGACTATTCGGGTGGCCGTGTGACATTAACCCTATCAGAGGTAAGCCATATCCATTTCGGTTAACTTCATCTGTGACTAATAGCGAATTGGCTAACGATCATTTGAGACGACTGTTTGATACTCCCACTTCGTCAGAAGTTTAAAAGTTTTGCCTCATCCAGGCTGGGCAATTGCTTCGACCTGACCACACCGTTTCGTCCTGACTACCAGCCTGATTCGAGCCTTGCATATATTATGTTTCAGTTTGTCATTTATTGCGTGAAATGATAAGAGGAGATCGAAATGGCATTCCAGCTTGGATAAAAACTGTCATCTGGAATTCATGATAGTGAAATTCGTTAAAGAGATCAAGCCGTCTCGGCAATTCGTAGAGGGCAAACTCGCCATCAGTCCGACAAGAAACCAGGTTAAACTGGTCAATTCGGAGGTATGAAGATCAAAATGATGTCCCTTGTTCTGGTTGCAGTCTTCCTCTAAAGTGTAGAAACGATTCAAGCCTATGCTCACAACTTGGCTATGTTGTCAGAGAGCTCAATAAGCCACCTGCTTCTACGTCATCTGCTACTTTCCAACGTCAGATTCTGGACTTTACATATTTCCAGACAACTCCTCAAAGAGGCAAGAAGAGTCTATGCTTAACCACATTTACGTTATTGATGGACTGTAGCTTAGTGTTACGAGTGACAGTGTCAATTGATAGTATAGGAGTAGGGTTTTGAGACTACCAGTAAATCAGTGTAATGAGATGTATTCACCCTATTTCGTGTAAGGTGATGAAGGACTGGTACGAATTTTCCCACAATCATATGAGTTGAGCTGACGTTTCCATTGAATTTCACAAAAAGAATATGATATAGCAGATATGAGTTTAGCTGACTTTTCCATTGAATTTCACATAGCCTTGCTTTCCCAAAGATTTTCCCACAATGATATGAGTTGAGCTGACGTTTCCATTGAATTTCACATAGCCTTGCTTTCCCAAAAACATAATGATATGAGTTTAGCTGACTTTTCCATTGAATCTCACATAGCCTTTCTTTCCCAAAAGTTGTTCTAATGCTTATCAGTGTGATGAGATGTATTCACCCTATTTCGTGTAAGGTGATGAAGGACTGGTAGTAGAATTTTCCCACAATGATATGAATTAGAGCTGACGTTTCCATTCAATTTCAAATTGCCTTGCTTTCCCAACACCCTGGATGAGAACACCTTTTGGGTGCTGACTTTTCCATTGAATTTCACATAGCCTTGCTTTCCCAAAAGTTGTTCTCATCCTGGGTGGACTGCGCGTTTTCCATTGAATTTCACATAGCCTTGCTTTCCCAAAAGTTGTTCTAATCCTGGGTGGACTGCAGTTTCCTTCCATTGAATTTCACATAGCCTTGCTTTCCCAAAAGTTGTTCTCATTCAGGCACCAGTGGACTGCAGGTCTCCATTGAATTTCACATAGCCTTGCTTTCCCAAAAGTTGTTCTCATCCCGGCTTGAGTGGACTGCAGTACCATTGAATTTTCACATAGCTTTACTTTCCCAAAAGTTGTTCTCATCCTGGGTGGACTGCAGTTTCGACCTCGCATTGGACATTGAATTTCACATAGCCTTGCTTTCCCAAAAGTTATTCTCATCCTGGGTGGACTGAAGTTTCGACCTCGCTATTGAATTTCACATAGCCTTGCTTTCCCAAAAGTTGTTCTCATCCAGGGTGGACTGCAGTTTCGACCTCTTTGAATTTCACATAGCCTTGCTTTCCCAAAAGTTGTTCTCATCCTGGGTGGACTGCAGTTTTGACCTTTGAATTTCACATAGCCTTGCTTTCCCAAAAGTTGTTCTCATCCAGGGTGGGAAAGCAAGGCTATGTGAAAACATAACCTTGCTTTCCCAAAAGTTGTTCTCCTCCATGGTGGACTGCAGTTTCGACCTCGCATTGGTCTTATTAAAACCCTCAGCGGGATTCGAACCGCGACAGTGCAGGACAGTAGCTTGACACGCTAACCACTCGGCTACAATG